AATCTCGAAACTTTTCAACCCTTTGGAATCCTTGCAAGGGATGAGCACCGAAACTTTACGAGCCCTCAAACTTGCTTTTGCAAAGTGAACAGCAAAAACAACCTAAAACTCTAAAGCCTGAACTTCCAATGCAGGTGTGAGAGTCGAAACCCCTAAACCCTAAAGACCTCGCCTGCATGGCCCGAATCGCGAGAGTCTAAAACCCTCAACCCCAAAAGCCTTCAAGATCTGTCCTTGGAGGGACTTCGTGCTGGGATTCTCTGCGCTGCTCGCCGCCTCCGCAAGTCGAGCCGAGCATCCTCTTTCTCGGGGGCTGGAGGCACCAGCTTAGGGTTTTGGAGCATATTATGCCGTCATTCTGTTAGAAGGAACACCAAAATGTTGGGCTTTTAGGATTAAGGTGTGGTTTAGGGTTGCTGGTTGAGGTTCAGTTTAGTTGCTGTAGGGTCTACAAGCGCCTAAAGATATTGAGATGGGCCTTCGGGTCATCGTACGTGCATTTAGTATTGGTTTCAGAAGGCAGATACTACCAGTAGTATAGTGCCGATGTCCAAGACCATCCAGGACCTTTGTATAGAGTATAGGAGGTTGCGAGGGCGTCGAGGCTTCAGGTTAAAGTTATTTAAGCTTCAGAAGTTTAGGGCTTAGGGTTTAGGGCCTAGGACTTGCTCCAACTCTGGACGAAGTGGAAAGCTCCTTGCAAAAAGGGCTGCAAGCTGTTACGGCTTCAGGCTTTCAGAACGTGGAGTGCCCACCAATGTACCCCCGGAGAAGCCTCAAGACAGAACATGATCCTAAACTAATGAATGCTGGGTAGATACGTGTTTACCGTTTGCGGGAAGTTCCGTTTTCGTTGGTTGTGCTGGGTTTTCCGGAGCGAATGAATCCAGGCCGGCAATTTGGAAGGTTTCAGTTCCTGTGGCTTCTGATAGGTCATGTTACATCCATGAATACAGCTGTGGGCACTACTGAATCAGGTACGTAGCTTCAGAGCTAGTTGGAACCTGTCGTGTACAGACTTCCTTAGAACCTGTTAGGACAGTTTAGCTTTCGACTGCACGCACACTGGGGCTTTCGGGTTGAAGCTTCATGTTGGCATGTGTTCGGGCTTTGTTGGTGTAGTTCATAGCATATCAGCCCCGAGATGTGCTGGAAAGCAAGACTTTCTCTGTCTTTGCAACCCCACGCTGCACTCAATCCGATTTAGGAGCGCCGACATAATGTTATGCTCTTCCGCAGCAGTCGGCAGGCAGCCCAGTAAACCGCCACAAGCCCAAAGCGCCAAGCTATGTGCCGTCCAGGAGGGTGCTTGTGCGCTGGCTGACTGCCCAGGCTGGCTGGATTTACAAGGGTCTTATTTAATATAGGGGCGTAAATAATTACCTATACTAGTTTGGGGGCTCCTTATTATAATTATGGTATAATAAACCCCAAAAGCCTATTCGGCCCCTACATTAGGGTTCTTCAAGCGATCTGCAAGAGGTTGCCAAGGGATGTAGCAGATTCGTAAATGGATTCACGGGTGGCTTACAACAGCTCTTGTGCGTGCTTTAGGGTTCACTTGTCTCTTTGCTTTCTTGTCTCCGGTTGAAGTGCATGCTGCTTTGGCAGGTTCGTACGACTCAAGCAGTCCCGTGCCTTAGATTGTCAAGGATGTCTTATGGGATTACAATGGTTTCGTGCTCCATGCTCGTAGGAAGCTGTGGAATGACCCGAAGTCTCTCGTTCCGGCCCTGGGTGCAGAACAGGTGGCTGCGCAACTTCAGAAAGTCTAAGATGCAGCTCCGGCACTAAACTGAACTCCATGTGCTAAAAGCTGACCTTATGAGTGAGCGTACTTGTGTCAATACCTTATAACTAGGCTAGAATGGCTCGTTTCTTCTCCTCACGGTCACGTTTTCTATGGAGAACATGAAGAAGAGGGTGGGGCCTTGTGAGGTTTCACGGGGTTCTATTCGGGTCTTATGCAGTAGCACCAGCAGGCATGTATATAGGTGTTCATGTATAGGTTCATGATAGAGACATGGTAGGGTTTGACAGAGGGTCACAATATCTAGAACAAAGTTCTCCTTTAGGCCTTAAAACCAATAATCACTACAGTTTGATAAATCACGCAACCCCAACTTTGATTTGTAAGGCCCCTTTAGTCGTGCGCACACATATCCAAGAGGAAATCGCATTTATTACTGCGAGCTCTACATATATTCCCAATCCTAGCGGAACTTAACCAACCGGCGTTCGGCGCCAGGGGATCCAACCCGACTTCTCAAATTCGTGCCGGCGGTGGAGGATCCGACGGCTACGAGCATCCACTCCTGCAGACGTGTCCGTAGTTTTGCTAGGTTCCCCAGTACTACCCTTTTGCCCTTTTTGGTTTGGGGACTCCTAAAAAAGGGCACCCTTAGTACTAAGGATTTACTGGAGAACCTAGTTTGGATGTTTCGGACATGAAGCAGAAGGGCCCTGATCAGCAATGCACCAGGAGTGGAGAGGCCGTGCACGAGCTCGTGAGACCGTCATGCCCACCAGACACTAACCATGTAATTTGCTTTTGTGGACATGTTGCAAACCATGATCGTGCATCGGTTCTGCCCTGTGCCAGAACACAATATAGCACTGCGAAGAGTAGCCTTCGTAATGACATAAAGTATACCGATGAATATGCAAACCGCAGCTATTTCGCATGCATTCTCTAGAGGATGTGCAACATGCTCAAGAGGTAGACAGAGAAATTCTGTGACGCCTCGGGTCGACGTAACCTGGGAGTTCCAGAAAATACGGGACCCGAACCCTAGATCACCTCAGGGAGTTAATCGTAAATGCAAACCCCAAAGCCCAGAAAGCCTTAAACCCAAAAACCTTATGAATCCTAAACCCCAAACTCCAAGCCTGAAGCCTTAAACCCTCTCCCTAGATGTCCCCAGGCCCCATAAATCCGAAACCCCAAGCCCTAAACCTTAACCTAAACCCTAAGCCCTAACCCCTAAACCCCTAAACACCTTAAACCCCAAAAAGCGTTCACCAGGACTTTGCCTCCCTAAACCCTAAACCCTAAACCCCGACACCCTAAACTCCTAAAAAAATTGTCCGAGTGTGAGAGCCGAAACTCCTAAATCCCTAAACCCTGAACCCCTAAACCCTAAAACCGCCAGGACTTTACCTCCGAGCTCGGTCAGGGCGTTCGGTTCCGCCTTGCCTCGATGGAGGTCGCGGCTCGGTCCTGCGAGAAAATGTTTGTAAAGGTTGATAGGACTTATAGGGTTTAGG